TTGTATCATCACTATAGTTCTTAAGTGATGGTTGTCGGTTAGAGATACTCCCACAGCAGTAGTAGCATGGTTCCTCAAGGGGTTCTGCTTAGTATGGATGTGAGTATAGGACTTCATTCATGCATTGCACAAGTAGACTTTGAGTGGGATCATGATATGCCTTTTTATGATTTTATGATTTTGAGTTGACAGCATATTTTAAACAATTTTCTTTATCTTTATATTACACTTGTCTTAAACTGCTTTATAATGAAATGAGTTCAGTTAAGAATTCATGAGTTGAGAAGAGCCAAGGTAAGTGTTTCTTCAGATCCTTTTCAAGCATATGCTATGTTTAGCATTCCAACTCGCATACTCGTACATTCAATGTACTGATGTCAGTTGGCCTGCATTGTCTTATGATGCAGACGCAGGTAACTAGGATCGGCATTCCGGCACATCGTTGATCCAGTGAGCAGTTCAGAGTCTGTTGGTGAGCTTCCTTGCATTCCGAAGGATCCATTTCATTGTTTTCTAGTTTAGTTCATTAAGATGTTGTGAGGTTTGTCCTAACTTCCATCTCAATTGTTATTAGAGGCTTCATAGACAGTCAAATGTTAGTCTTTAGTCTTTTCATTGTCATTATTCCATGTTGAGACTTGAGTTTGCCTTAATGGCCAGTTGAATGTTCCTTTATGACATTCCAGTTTATTATATGAACTTACCTTTGTTGAGTTTAAGTCTTCCGCTGAGTTAAGTAAGCCAGGCCAAGGGTTCGCTTGGGGCCAGCAATGGTCTTCGAGTGCCAGTCCCGCCCAGGGTGTAGGCTCGGGGTGTGATAAACTTGGTAGCAGAGCCCAGAGTTCAAGAGTCCTAGGGAGTCTATAAAGTTGTGTATGTAAAGTCCTAGTTATCGGTGTGAAGCGTGCCACATCAATAATTAGGAGGCTGCAACATTTAGGAAAATTTCTCACTTCTTTCACACTTATTTCGTGCATTAGAGTTTACCTCTAAAAAGTTTCCCTCTAATTCGTGCTTGTGCGTGTTTTTCAGACAACCATGGCTCCACGAATAGCAGTCAGAGGTTGTCCATTTAGGAGAAATTTTGAGGAACAAGAGTTACTGAATGCACCTGAAGT